CTCAGAACTTGTAAAAATGTAAATCCATAAGACAAGACAATGTCTCAATAACCAAAAAATCATATGATCTACTAACATGTATAATTATAAACAAGTAGTAGATCAACATGATAAAAATATGATATGATATATAATTCATAGGCCAAGTATAAATATATCACAAATATCACATGTACTACATGCATGATCCCATTTCTAACTGAACCTTTATGTCTCCCTGATTGAATTTATAAGCTATAAGATCAATTCCTAATGAATTATCCAAAGCTCACCTTTAATGGTAGAAATACCCATCCAAAGTCGTACCTTATCATTTTAGAATTATAAATTTCCCTAACTATATAATTGGGATGTCGTATGTTCTAATACATTGAACACCCTTTAGTTGATTTAGAACATCCCCGATCCATTGAACCTTTTCAATAAATACAAAACTAAGATAGGCTGCACCAAGCATCCTTAGTGACAGTGTAACTATATGAATTTTTATTACCTCTTCAACTAGGATAAACTCACATCCTTAATCATACAATTATACCCATGCAATACTTTGCATTCAATATAACCAATAATCGATTTGCCCTTTTTGTTTAGATTAATAAATCATTTCTTAAAAGTCACATTACCAACCCTTAATATACCAATCCAATTATGAATATTGTTGTCACTAAAACTCATTTTACACACTTTACAAATTTCAAAAGTAAGTAACCACATTTATGCATAGAAATATATATATATATATATATATAATTTGCAATTAACTTGCTTACAATTATACAAGCCAACAAACAATATGATTGACCAATTGCCTTAACCCTTTTTTTTTATCAAAAGGGTTACCTATGGATCGAATGTAAGCTCTCGATTTGTCGTAGCCTTAGAATCACTCTAAGATATCAAAATCTACATTTACAAATACTATATGTCAATTTATTAATTCAACACCAATACCCTCGAGCTAAATTCCACTAAATTAAGCTACCTACAACCCATAACTTCTATTGTTAAGCTAGCCAAAACTTCTACAGTCTCACATTATCTTAATTTGGCATATATAAGGTTGATTCATGCTTAAATTTAGCTCACACAACTTCAAAACTCCAAAACCAGCCTAGGGTTCATCTATTATCTTCCATCCATCAACCCACACAATTGCATCCACCTATTTAACACTAAACAACTTAAATTAAACTCCTAAAGTCACATGCTTGCCTTAAGGTTCGAATCTAACCAACCACCACTCAGAGTCCAAACCCCAACTCTTCAAAACCCACTTAAATCAAGGTAAAGAGGAAGAATAGAGAGCTAGTAAGTTTGCCCAAATGATAAGAGATCTAAATAAGCCACTATCCTTATCCAAATCAAAGCCTTAGCACAACTCTTTCTTCTCCTTTAAGCTCATTTGATTTTTCCAATTTATTTCTATTTTTTGAGCTAGATCATGACCTAATTAAGTTAGATTTGCAGTGTATGGTACAGTAAGCCCAAACTTCATTTTCCACCTATTTTGACCCGATCTAATCTAGATTTTAATTGACCACAGAGTTATCTAATGATCCAAAGTACAAATTAACAACCCAAAAACTTGATTAACTAAATTAATCATTTTATTTACTAATTTCTCATTTAATTAGCAATAAGTCTGAATTAAGAACTCAGGATGTTATAGTTGAACCATACTGCTTTCTTCTCTAGGTGATGGTCCAATCAATCCAGGTGTAAAAACAGTATTGTTGCCAACAACAATTTTGATATGTTAATTACCCAATAGCTAATTAAATTGGTTGGTCAAAATCTCATTTTGGTCTTTTACATGGGTAAAGAATAACATTTGCATCATTGTATTTATATATAATTTAATTTATAAAACTTAATTGGGATTAATTTTCTCACAGGGTAATTAAAAGTAATTTTATGTTTCATTTTTTATAATTTTTAAACATATTTTTAGTTATAAATTAATTAATAATTAAAATTAACTTTTTAATAATAGAGTATATCCAATACAATATTTTTAAAAGTTAAATTGAAAAATTTGTCACATAAAAAGAAGTACTCTTTATCAACCAAAAATAAATAAATAAATAAAGTGTGGGACACGCGAAACGCGTATGTGAGGGGTCTTTGTAATAAGAGGAGGTGGTATGTTATTTATTAGTCAAAAAGCAAGCAAAAGAACGTACAACGATCCAAAATGTCAGTCACGTGATCCCTTGGCCACGAAGTATCACATGTTGGACGCACACATTCTGACATGCATGCGTATGAAAGAGAGAATTATATTAAAATCTCATATAATAAAATTAATTATTATAAAAATTATTAATAGTTGGATTTAAAAGATAAAATGCGTTATTAATGATCTTAATTTAATTATTAATAAATTTTTATAATAATTATTTTTTTTTGTAAGACTTATGTATGGAATTATCAATTAAAGCCAACCCAATTCTAAAAACCAACCCTTAAAAGGTCAAGGTCTAAATTAATTGGCCCTAATAAGCTCGATCATATTTCAAATTTTTTTTATAAGGCTTGGCCTTAAATCTCAGGGCCTCAGTCCTTTTTTTATACTTTTTGTTAATTTAAAATTTTAAAAAATATATTTATAATCTTAAAAAAAGTTATTATACATAAAATTAAGTTGAAGAAAATAAATTTAAATTAATTTACATAACAATAAATAAAAAGCTTAAATATTCAGGTCTAATATCAAATAGTAACATCAAAATTAATATCAATAAAAATTAAACTTGATTAATATTATTAGCTAAATCTTAATAAATGAATGAAGGAGGGACGGATGAGTCTAATATATTTATTTTTTATTATATATTTAATCTTTTATTTTTTTTATTATAATTTCTTTTAAAAAAATAAAAAAACTTAAAAGAGCTCCTTTTAAGTTTAAATTATCATTTTTTTTAAGTAAAAGCTCGATCTTAATTATTTTTGAATTTAAAAAGATTAACCCTACGAATTCAGTCTTAATCAATAGCTCTATTTACGTATGATCCATCGTGTATAAAACCACACACACGCATGCAAAATTGAAAAAGAATACAGGTGGGCGGGCTGGTAGTAGGGCCCGATAGATGCTTTGACTGGATCGAGGGGAAGAAAACACATTGGATACGTCATTGGACCAAGTCTCTCTGCCAGAATCAACCTCTATTATTATTATTATTATTATTATTATTATTCAATATTCAATTGTTATTACTATTATTATTCAAACCTCTTCGCCAATTTGGTATCTTTGTTCCTCGCCAATTTGGTATCTTTGTTCCTTTGTTTTTCTCGACTCAGCTAATAATATATACAACTTTCATTTAAAAATATAAAATATTTTTAATTAAATTTTATTTTTAAATAAAGTAGTTATCTACTTTTAAATTAATATTATCTTTTTATATTTATTTCTATTAAACACTCTAAAATAAATATAAAATTATTTATTACTCAGGACGTTTTTGAGAAAAAAAAAAATGATTACACCTCAAAAGATTAAAAATACCTTATATTTTTAAACATCAAACTCTTTAAAAAATATTTTACATTTTTAAATGAAGGAAGTAGTTCTAAAGCAGCCAGAATTCACCCCCTTCCTACAATATATTATATATATATATATATATATATGTCTTGTTCAATGTATTTTGTAAACTTGAATGTTTGAGATATATTTTGTAAAATGTGTGTTCATGTAAGATTTCAATATATTAATTATTTGGGGGACTCAATGCAACTAGACAGCGAAGGAAGTGAATTTTGTGTCAGCATCTGTTGAATATAATCTTACCAAAAGATGTACGACTCGAAACACGTACGTATGCTCTCAAAGCATTTGGAAAATGGAGCACCCAGCTCCTTCGATAATCCATTTTTACAATGCTCCATCATATCTTATAAGGATTAACTGCTACCACCTTATTCAGATGGAACAAATAATCATTAAATTTTAACTATCATTTATTTCTTACAATTACAACTAAGGGTAATACCAATCAATGTCTCTATAAATTTTTCATTCAGGAATTCTCTCCAAAATTATAGTTGACTTCAATTAAAGCTGATGACAACTCTGAATACCCAAAAAAAAAAAAAAAACTCTGTGTGTTTGTGTTGAGATAAGAAAATAACTCAGTTATTATGCAGGGCAATAACTTAGTTATTACTTTTTTCCGGTTAAAATAAGTTATTTTTTCTATTTTAAAATATAGATATTTTTAATATTTTAAGATGTAATAATTATTTTTTTTAAAAGTGTCCCTATTATTGAATAATTTTATATTTATCGTAGAGTGTTTAATATGAGTAAATATAAAAAAATAGTGTTACTTTAAAAATAGATAATTATTTTATTAAAAGGTAATATTTAATTAAAAATATTTTATATTTTTAAATGAAATGAATATACTTTTTTTAATTAAAAACAATTTATATACTTTTTAGGACAAAAAAAATTTTCTCCTCTTGTTTGGATGTAAGGGTTAATATTATAATAGAACCCTTCGCCAATGAAACAAAGGAGCTGCCCCAAGCAGCCCTCAAGGGTTGACTTTTTTATCTGGAAGACTCGAACAAGCCGCCACCTACCATTGTGAAACATAAATCAATAATAAAAATAAAAAAAAATAAAAAATGCCCACACCTTAAATTATTAATAAGAATAATTTTATTTTTAAAATAAATAAAATAAAGCATTTTTACTCTTGTTATTAAATTTTTAACATTGACAGTTAAAAAGTGTTAACTGAAATATTTTGTTTTAATTAATACAAGAATTATTCCACAGCTCCTCACACAATACTCAGGAATTAAAGCTATATTTAAGTGATCTAAAATATATCTCTGTTAAATTTAATAAATAGTTATATTTATAAATAAATTTTTATTAAATGTAAATTGAAAATTAAATATCAGGCCAAAAAAATTGAAAATTAAATAGCTCAAAGTTGAGGCCTTTACTAGTTTGACCAGCCATCTTGCAATTACTTTGGGGGCACCGAAAAAGCGAAAACGATATTTAAATCGTGTTTAATGTTCCCCTTGATCGTAGACCCTTTCTTCTCTACTCTGGTAGATTCTCAACAAATCTCCGTTTCCACGGAAAACCCATCACTATTCGTCTTTGTGTGGTAGATTTTTCTGGAAAGTTTGTGTTTCTGAGCTTGCTTTGGTCTCTGCTTTGAATTTGATTGAGGGTGATGAGAGAGTGGTGAGGAAAAATGTCAGCGAAGGCCTCGCAGGCAAAGCAAATAGCTGAAGTTGCCATAGAATCCATTGGGCTAGGATACGATCTCACAAGTGATCTCAAGCTCAAATCCTGCAAGAGAAATTCTCCTGACCCAAGATTAATTGCTATAGACAATAACCAAGTTCGGACCATTGAGCTTCCGAATGGAATTTCAGTCTCTAATGTCCCCAGATCAATTAAATGGGATAAAGGGGAGCGCATGAGATTATGCTCCGATGTCCTCTCTTTTCAGCAGGTACTTTTTATTTGAAAACATGTCCTTTAATATTTTTTCCCTCTTATTTTTATTTTCTAACTCGAAGCAAGTTTGTTGTCGTAATCTTGAGGACTGAAATTCTCGCAAGTCCTTATAAGGGAAACGATATAATTTAAGCCGTCTAACTGTAGATTTGTTTTTTTTTTTTTTTGGTGACTGATAGTTGAATTTCGATTCCATTGATATTTTGATATTTTCCCCCTCGGCTGACAAAGCACTATATATTCTGCTCTAGATGTCAGAGCAGTTCAATCAGGAGTTATCACTTTCGGGTAAGATTCCATCAGGGTATTTCAACGCAGCATTTGAATTATCAGATGCTTGGCAGAAAGAAGCTGCAAATACAAAAAGTCTTGCTTTTGATGGTGTATCCATAACCTTGTACAACATTGCGTTAGAGAAAACCCAGGCTGTTCTTCGTGATCATGTCAAACAGGCTGTCCCGTCATCATGGGATCCGGCTGCATTGGCAAGGTACTTTGAGGGTTCAGCAAAATCATCTTTCTCGCTCTTCTGCTTGTTTTGCTCGCTGCCCTGCAATTTTCCTTTTATGTATAAAGTATAATGCACAATCTATGTATCCACTGTCCAACAAGTGTCCTGAAAGCTTAGTAAAGAAGGGATGCGCTGTTTGGTTTGTAATAGGGAAAGAGATGATTCTTTTTCTATTCTTCATGCATAACATATATTATATCTGAACTATCATTACTTGATACCGTTGATTCCTTGCTTCTTTTTTCTTGGTTAAATTAGGTAGAGGAAGGGTATTCTCCTTTCTCAAAATCACTATTTTTTGTTCTATTTTTTATCACATTCCTTTTTATTCTGTGTGATAAATGGGAGTTCAGCGAGGCACTAAATTTGTAAGTTTAATTCTATCCTTCAGAATTATGGTATCTCTTGCAGAACCCTTTCAAATGTCCTTTTTCTCCTTCTTGCACTTTGGTGATCGGCTTTTAAATTTGTGCAGTTTGTATTGTGGAGGATTCCATTGCAATTTTTCTGCTTAACCCTAATCATCCTTTTGTCTTATAACTTCAGGTTCATTGAGAAGTATGGCACACATGTCATAGTTGGGGTAAAAATTGGGGGAACTGATATAATATTTGCAAAGCAGCAATTCTCATCTTCTCTGCAACCTGCCGATGTACAGAAAAAATTGAAAGAGATGGCTGACAAGTTCTTTGTAAATGGTGGTGGACAATATTACACGAATGATGAAAAATTTAATCAGAAAGAGAAGGTCTGAAGCTTTTGGATTAAGATATATTTTTCTTCTGTCTCCATCAAGTGAATTTTGACACCCCTCAATTAAAGCCTTATAATTAGTCTGCAGTCAGATGGTATCAATGAACCCAAGGTTCATTTGGAAGTTGTAGGCCATATGCCAAATTTCAGAGAATCTCTGGTATTGAATGAAAAAGAATATCTGAATCATCACTAATGGAATTGAACGTTTAAATTGAAAACGTCAGACTATGTTCGTTATGGATTACCACCTTATAAACTAGGGAATCCCGGATCTCAATCCTGGCTTACAACTTAAAAGATGACATAAAAATGTTTCAGATTTATTGAGTTTAATTTCATGTTCTTTCTCCAAAATCTTTGAAAATCAGGTGCAATTATTATGAAAGAACTCATTTCCCCTATATGATAATGTGAAAGACGAGGAAAACAAATCAAATGAGATTAGGTAACTGATTTGTAGAAGACCTTTCTGTCAGATAGATGGCTAGAAACTATGTATATGTGGTAAAGCTACTGCACTTAGTAGCTTCCATACAAATCTTTTTTAAGAAAAGAACTTTCTTGATAATGCAGATACATAACTTGTCTTCTCTCTTCTTTGTCTGCAGTTTTTGATAGAGAATGCGCTAGGTGTGATGGTTACATCTAGTTCCTACTACTCTATTGAGGTAAACAGAGCTGCTTTTAATATTATATTTATTCCTACCATATTTGATTTTCGGCTCCATACATTTCTAATTGATTCCCTTATTAAGCTTTTCAATTATTCTTCTGTTTTATGTCATGCTGAATGCTGATAGATAATATGCTAGTAGTCTCTTAGGCTTTGTTTGTCCTCACTAATTTAGAGCCGAGAATAAGAGCCAGGCTTGGAGAGCCGGGCTTGGAGGCCCTGTTTAAATAAGGGTTTGGGTTTTGAAAATGAAATTTTTTTTAAAGTAACCAGGTTTGAGGGCCTGGCTTTGATAAGCCTTGTAAAAAAGGGCTTGAGCCCGGCGGCCCTTCAAACCCTGTTATATTATTTTTTTTCCTTTGGTGGCACATGCATTTGAAGCCAAGAACCTACTCACCTGAAACCTTGATCTTACACACATTATATTATTATTAATTTTAATTTATTCTAAAATTGATTTAATATAATTTAATCAATATCATTGTACAGTATAAACTTTATGATATTTTTTATCTTTTTATAATTATTATGTTTGTGTATTTATAAAAAATGAACTGTTTTTTTAACTAAGATTTGAATTTTATTACTAGACTTCTAAATGTGTGTTGTTTAATTTTTAAAAGATTATGAGGATTTTGATTTTTTTTCAATTTCATAATTTTTTAATTAATTTGTAGTGCTTAATTTTATTTTAATTTTTTTAAACTTTTTCATAACAAAGCTTGTGGGCCTAGTTCTAAGCCTTTCAGATAAGGGTCGGGCCTCAAAAAAGGGGTAAAAAATGGGGAACCGGGCTTAAGGGCCGAGCCCGCCCCTTTCGCAGCTATATGACACTATAATTGGTTCTTGTTCCATACATTTCTAATTGACTCCTTTACCCAGCGTTTCAATTATTTATAGTGTTGATGGATAATATACTCTTAATCTTTATTTGCTCCTGCTATAATTGGTTTTTGGCTCCATACATTTCTAATTAATTCCTTTGTGCAGTTTTTTTTTTAATTTATTTATTTGCTTTATGGCATGCTGATGAATAATAATCGTGACTCTCAAGCTTCGTTTTTGAAAAATTTTCTTTTTCAATTCTGTTTATAGAAGTTTTATGATCCACACATAATTATGTTAATATTTTCTTCAGCACGTTATTTTGTGTTTGATAATCAAGCTATTAATGTTCTCTGATGGAATACTGAATTACCTTCATGCATCATTGAACTAATCATTCAAGCCAAGAAGATCATCATGGTGATGCCTTCTGCTGTAGCTTGCTCTTGCTCTCGCTTCTTTAACCAGATAATAATGACAAGAAATACGAACTACTGACTTAGTTTTCATTTTTCGACCTTCCACAGGAGCAGGATATTAAGTTCATGTGCCGAAGGAAAGGTGGGGATAACAGAAGGAATTTGACCCACACTGGGTGGTGTCAAACTGTTTCGTTGCGACCTAATGTGATCTCAATGTCATTTATACCAATTACATCTTTACTTAGTGGAGTTAACGGGAGTGGATTTTTAACTCATGCCATAAACCTCTATCTCCGCTGTAAGCACAATGCTGTTAATCATTCGCTTATTTACTTTTGGCTTTAGAGCATGTCAAATGATTTTTATATATGTCAGTAGATTAGAAACCCATAACCTTCGGGTGTAAATATTGTACAAGCAATCAAATCAACTTTTGTTGAATTAGAATTCTGATGCTAGACTGTATTTAGTATTTACATCAGATTGTTGTTTGGTCTTACTACAGTGAAGGGAGAAGGGTAATTTCTATGGATTTTATGTGTAACCTTGATACTCTCATTGATGTCATTAGTGCGGCAACAAAAATAACTATAATTACATCACCACCCTAAACAGATTGCTGCCACTGAGATTGCTGCTGCCATTAAATTCTGCTGTCATGGTAGCAACATCAGTTTCATTGTGGCCTGCCTGAACTAATGACTTATCTCTGAAATGGAGAAGAATCCTCAGATACCATTCAGATAAACACACACACACACACACACACACACACGCTGTTCAGAATCCTCAGATCATTTGATTGTGATCAGAATACATGGAAATCTGTAATTGTTCTGCTCATGATAATATCTCTTACCTTTTCTTGTCCTTACCTTAAATGCTTGAAAATATTATGTGTGCCTTACGCATGTTTATAAATAGTTTGCAGTGAAAATACATCTGATTCTTTTCAGGTCGAAAAAGTGATTTTTGTCATTCTAATATTTGATCAATTAAAAAATGAGTCTAGTGTAGCCTTGGCCTTATGGGTAGTATGGAACTGGTGGAATAGTGGAAACAAGCCAACTGTTGGAGGTTGAAATTTATTAATATTTAAATTTTTGCTTATTTAACTTTGTGAAAACTCATTGGGAATGATCATAAAGAAGTTACAGATCTAGCTATATGTTCAATGTTATTGGAGGCATATGACTTTGTTTGAAGTCAGTTTCATATATAACGTGATTCTTACTCTGTTGAATAAAAAACTTAGAAACCTCTCTTCTGGTAAAAAGAGCCATCATTCATTGGAACTTCCAACTGCAGATAAACCCCCAATTGAGGAACTGCATCAATTTTTGGAGTTCCAGCTTCCACGGCAATGGGCTCCGATCTTTGGTGAGCTTACCCTTGGTCCTGATAGAAAGCCACAAAGTATGGCATCTTTGCAATTCAGTTTCATGGGTCCTAAGCTCCACGTAAACACAACACCGGTAATACTCATGGTTTTACTTTTGGTTCTTTGACCTGTGTGTTTTGTCTTTGATACATATGGATAGTCTTGCTAATGCCTGTGTCATTAGCTGTTAGATTTCTTTGTTTTTTTCCATTCAAAAGGTATGGAGCTATTTAGTTATTTCTTTCCTCCAATTTTAAATTTGGAACGTCCCATGTTTAAGAGAATTAACCTTGATGGTTTTCATATTTGGCATGCACATGTTTTTCATGTATTTGGATGGATCATGTAAGCATAATCGACAAGACAAAGAAACTAATAATTACAGATGGATCACAACTATGCTATAATCATAAGCAACTTTAGCGTCTTGCTTCACATGGACAAGCACCTCTTGCTTAAGGTGTTTGAGGTCCAGAGCCTTAAGAGTGTTTTCACCTTATCATGACTCAACTATTAAGATTCAAAATGATTGGCCTGTTGTTGTTTACTAAATTGATATCATTCAGAGATCTTTGTGAGGAAAACGAAAGTCAATAATCTGATTTGTGCATTCTCTCAGATTTCTTGTTAAATATGTTGAAAAATGTTGTGATTTAGACTGACTTTGGATGAATTACTGAAAAGGTTGATGTTGGCGAGAAACCTGTCACTGGTCTTAGACTATATTTAGAAGGGAAAAAAGGCAATCGCCTGGCAATCCACCTGCAGCATCTTTCTTCACAGCCACAAACCTTCCAACTCGAAAATGATCCGAAGGGGAATGTCTTGGATGCGGCATTGGCACGCAGGTACTTCGAGAAGGTACAGTGGAAGAGTTTCTCTCATGTATGCACAGCCCCAGTTGAGTCATATGAGGAAAACTCCATAGTGACTGGCGCACGCTTTGAAGTCAGAGACCATGGCCTGAAGAAAGTTCTATATCTCAGACTTAATTTTGCCAAAGTCATCGGCAGAACCCAAGTTAAGACAGACTGGGACGGTTCTCCTGGCTTGACTCATAAATCCGGAATGATCTCTACCCTGCTCAGCACTCACTTCTCGTCTGCACAGAAACCGCCTCCTAGCCCTGCTGATGTGCATATCAACTCTGCTTTATACCCTAATGGACCTCCTGTGCCTACACAAACACCAAAACTTTTGAGATTTGTTGATACAACTGAGATAACCAGAGGACCACAGGATTCACCAGGTTACTGGGTTGTGTCTGGTGCAAGGCTTTTAGTGGAGAATGGTAAAATATCACTTAAAGTGAAGTACTCTCTTATAACTGTGATTCCACCTGATGAAGAGGGTGCAAGCTTTTGAAAATTTTACACAATGAGACACAGATGGTTGTTGTATGTATATAAGTGTCTGATTCTATTCCATTGTACATTTAAAAATTTGAAGTGTTCATTATAGGTTTTTGCTTGATATTTCTCATTGTCATTATTTGTATTTTTACAATGCAGATCTTGTGCGCTTCCTTAATGTAATTATGGCCTACTCATCTTTTTGATTGTGTTCATTTAGTGCCAAAATAGAAAAACACAGTTCTGGTCAGCTTGTCAACCTAAATTACACACACTTTGGATCAATCTATGAGGGTAACAGCATTTAAATGGCAGGACAATCCCACAGTATTGGGTGAACTAGCATTTACTTCTTGGTGCGTTGCATGGGAAGCTTATATTTTATGGTTATTATAATTAATCTTGTAATGAATTAGATTAATTAAAATATGAAATTATTGCATTAGATTTACCTTCATGCTTGAAAAAATGATATGAGAAAATAATAGGGTTGTACTAAATTAGAAGAACATTTTAAATGTAATAACCTTCCCTTTCACATGACTAAACTTTGAAATCATGCTTGTTCATTCCTCTCCCCTAAGCAAGAAAAAAAAAAAAAGAATGTGTAATATGTACATCCTATATAGCATTATTTCACATCATCTTAAAAAAAAAAAATTCATTTCTCGCACCCAAAAAAAAAAAAAGAATTTAATGTTAAAAAACATGTTACCCGATCACTTTTTCTTCTCACCTAACACGCATTAGCTTGAATCAGTTAGGGATACTATTTATAACCTCATCTTATCCCCTCATTTTCTAAACACTAAAATTATCTCTTCAATTTAATTTAGGATACTATTTATTCAAGCTTTATTGTAATTCAAACAAAATCTCCATAGACTCAAAAACGGACATATTATCCAAGTACTTACTTCCCATTTAATGCATGAGAAGGTTAAACTAAAATAATGATCAAATACAACATAAATATTAAATTTCACTATTTTTTAATTAATGAAAGTTTAATATTTATCACAATTAATAGGAATTGTGTTTATAAAAAATTCAACTATATTGTACTTCTGTTTAATATATAGTGATGTACAGTGATGGCCAAAAAAACTTGCGATGTATAGTGATGTACAATAGCTAAATACTCTTCAGAGTGACATGCTTTTAATGGCTGGACAAAAAAAAACTCATTTTGATAAATAATATTTTGTTTAATGGGCAAGACTTTACTACCCCGTGGGAAGATTAAAACAAATTGCAACTAAATAGCAAGTTCTTTAATTTCATATTGAAAACTTGCAAATTGAAAATATGATGACCATCAAGAAAAAAATAATTTGATTAATATAACAACAATTAATAGTAGACAAATATAAAGCATTGTAATTATAAATATTGTAAATCACAATTAATTTATTAGAGATGACAATCATAAAAATATAATATGTAACATAAAAATGAAATCAAATATCACATTAAACTTCCAATACTTTACACCTAGAATAACAACACAATTGAAAAAAAAAAATTATTAAAAGTAAGCCATAGTGGCATCAAGAAATACGCTACCTTATGCGAAATAAAGTTATAAAACTATTTCATTTCAACATTTTATTTGAATACAATTTTTTCATTGAACATGGCAAGGCAGGTTAGACCAAACTTAAAGAAGTGTATGCATACATTCACATGATAGTCAGACCAAAATGATCAAAAAGAGTGTACATAAATGCAGCTCAAGAGAAAACATACAAGTTTCACTATTAAAGCAAGACTTCTTGCCCTCTTCAACTCCTGTCTTCTTCTATTATGCAATAAAGCACAGTTCTACCTTTCTATAACCTTCATTGTATCCCTCTTGAAATTCTTAATCTCCTCAAAGAAGAAGCAAAAATACTTGCAAGCTATTAGATCTTAGAAATTGATGGCAACCAAAGTAATGCAATAAACTAGGGTTTAGACACTAAAGCAATAGTTTAAAGTTATATGACAAAACAAGGCAACAAAAATAAGATTCAGAATTGGTTTTCCAACTTGTACCAAAAAAAAAAGAATTGGCTTTCCAAATTTAGCAGTTTAGCAAGATGAGAATATAAGAATTTATATGACAAAATAAGGGTACAAGAATTCCCTCTCTAATCAGCGACTTTAATTATGTAGAAGAAATTATATTTATACCTCTTCCTTATCTTTAACATATATAAGATGAGATAAGAATTTAAATGACAAAATAGGGGTACAAAAATCCCCCTCTAATCAGTGACTTTAATTATGTAGAAGAAATTATATTTATATCTCTTCCTTATCTTTAACATGTATAAATTAGTAGATACCACCCAATATATATGCACTAAGCTTTACTTGGAGCCTAACCAAATAGTTGTGCTCATATTTGCCTTTTGACTAAAATCTTGTAACAGTATTTTTATGTCTTTTTTTGTTGAACTAAATATTGTGATTTTTAATTACTCATCCACAAAGTTGTTTGGCTACATGTAATACGCAAATTTTGAAATCATTGCAACCATTTTGAAATCATATTTGCTCATCCCCCTCCCCATGCAAAAGAAAAAAGAAGAAGAAGAAGAACAAAGAGAGCTATGCTCATATATGTCCTACAAGGCACTATCTCAAGTAATGTAATAAAAAATGCGAAGATATCAGCTATTCAACCTACTAAAGAAATATTGAAGCCAAACAACAATAAAGCCCAAATGTTACAATACTCAAGCTGACCCATCAGATATTTATTGTACATAATTGTAATTGTTTTTCGGTCTTGCCACATGTCTTATTCTTGCGTATTAGGGTTTTTATCCTAGTCCCATATATAGTAATAAAGAGCCTCTTGTGTCTTATTATACTATTTTACATCACTCTACTTTCTTCTCTTGGTATTATAGCCATCAAAGGCAAACCTGCCATGGCTGATGCATCCTCAGAAAACTCTCCTAAGACTCCATCCAAAGCACAAAGCTCTCTTATTGCTATTGCCAATCTGCCAAAGACCTTTGTAGGTTCAGCAGGAATCTCTCAAAGCTGTGCAGTAAAGCTTGATAGGATAAACTACACCTTATGTCTACCTATGTCCTTCCTACCATTAAAGGTCACAAGCTGAAAGGTTTTCTCATTAGAGCTAATGTTTGTCCGCCTCAGTTTGTAGTTGAGAATGATATCTCAAAGCTCAATCCTGATTTCGAGGATTAGATTGCAACAGATCAACTTGTTTTTGGATGGCTTCTCAACACCATGATTGTTGAGATTTCAACTGAAATGACTGGTATCTCAACCTCTGCTGGTCTCTGGAATGCTGTTAAGAAAATTACTGGTGCTCAAAACAAAGCTAGGGTTCTTATGTTACGTTTTGAACTCCAGCGAACTTGCAAGGGCACTTCTACTATGCTAGAATATCTCAACAAGATGAAATCTCTTTCTAAAAGTTTGGCTCTAGCTGGAAGTTCTGTTCCTTATTCAGATTTTCTTCTTCAAGTTTAAGTTGGCTTGGATGGTGAGTACAACGCTGTTGTGGTTCAACTAGCTAAAGAGGAAGACATTAATTGGATAGAATTTCAATTTGAGTTGCTCACCTTTAAGTCTCGTTTAGAACAACTTCAGCAGGTAACTCACATGAATATTTCTACCCAGTTTGCCAATCTCACTGTTTCGAACTCTTCTCGTAGAACTTGGAAGGGTAACAGAGGAGATCGCAGCAATCGTGGCAAAGGTTTGGTAGAGGCAATGATAAACCCTTTTGTCATTTATGTGAAAAATTTGGTCACCATGTAAAAAAATTGCTTCAAGCAATTCAATCGTTCCTTCAAACCACCTACCAGCTCTAAAGGCTCTTTAGAGGCATTTTTCTCTAATCCTAATTCTACATTTTATGCAATGCCTGAAGTGGTTAATGATGAGCCTTGGTACCTTGATAGTGGTGCTACAACTCATGTCACAATGATGCTACTCGGTTGGAGACCTCAGTGAAAAACAATGGTAAGATAAAACTATTTGTTGCTAATGGTCAGGCTATAGGTGTTGAACAAATAAGTTCCTTTATTGTCCAAAATGTGCTTGGAAAATCTGTTATTCTTAAAGACATACTTTATGCTCCCTCTGCTAAGAAGAATTTGTTAAGCATTCTAAAAATTTCAGATGATAATGATGCTAATGTTTCACTTAATTCTACCATTGCTCTCGTGAGAAAACAGGGAACCAAGGACATTCTACTTCAAGGGATGAGAAGTGATGGAGATCTCTACAAAGTGGATGTAAAGATAGTTAAAAGGCAACAGAAAGTTTTTGGTGATTCTCAAGGAGTTTTCTCAGCTGAACAAGTTGAAAACAACATTAATAATAGTCCTACTTCAAATTCTATTAAGAGATTATGGCATTATAGGCTTAGTCATCCTAATGACCGAATTTTGCAAAAAGTTATTAGTGATTGTAAAGTCAAAATTAATGAAAATAGAGACCCTTTGTTTTGTAAATCTTGTAAATTTAGCAAATCTCATTCTCTCCCTTTTAAAATTTCTGTATCCCATGCTTCTCATCCACTTGATCTCATTCACATAGATTTATAGGGACCTTCACCAATCCAATCCCTAAATGGTTATAAGTACTATATACTGTTTCTAGATGATTTCAGTCATTACAGCTGGATTTTTCCACTGAAATCTAAGGATGAAGCCTTAATCATGTTCACCAAGTTTAAACAGTTTGTGGAAAATCAATTTGACAAAAAAATTAAAGCTATACAAAGTGATTGGGGAGGTGAATATAGGAGCTTTACTAAGCTTGTACAAGACTCTAGAATTCTTTTCAGAAATTCTTGTCCTCATACCTCTTCTTAGAATAGTAGAGCTGAGAGAAAGCATAGACACATTGTTGAAGTTGGTTTAACTCTTTTAGCTCAAGCTCACATGCCACTCTCTTATTGGTGGGAAGCTTTTCACACTGCTACTAAGCTTATTAATAAGCTTCCTACTCCTATTCTCAGTGGCATTTCACCCTTTCAAAGGTTATTTGTTAAGCTTCCTGATTATGACAGCCTAAGGGTATTTGGTTTTGCTTGCTATCCTTGCTTAAGGGTTTATAATAGACATAAACTACAATTTCATACTACACAATGTGTTTTTTTGGGGTATAGTAATCATCATAAAGGGTACAAATGTCTCAATCCTATAGGGAGAGTTTATATTTCTTGACAT